GTGCTTCTCCCGCCTCCGCCTGCGCCCAGGGCACGGGGCCCGAGGTCCGCGGGCGGGAGCGGGGTCTGTCGGGGAGGGGGCCAGCCCCTCCGGCCGTGCTGGGGCGGCAGGCGTGGGGTGCTGGGGCTGTGGAGGGCCCGTTGCAGCGTTGTCCCCGCGTGGAGCGGCCGCCGGCGGGGAGCGGGGTGGCTGCTGGCTCTGGGACCAGCAAGGTGGAGGAGACTGCCCGGCTCGGGGACCCGCGGAGGGGGCGAGGTGCTGGCACGGAGACTGGCCGCGGCAGACAGTGTCCCCTTGTGCTGTGCTTGCTGCTCTCTCCATTCACGGTAGCTTTTTCCCTTCCCTGGGGGCTCCGGGAGCCTTTCCCATTGGAAACTGTGATTTGGGCCCTGGCACGATCTGGGACCCAGGGCTCCAGTCCAGCCTCTGGCGGGTGCTCGCAGCTCTGGGCGCCTCGGCAGGGCGGCCGAGCCCGCAGCCGGCCGAGGTCTGGTCGCCGAGGGGGAGCCGTGGCGTGCCTGAATCGCAGCACTGTCTGTGCCGCAGCCTGCAGCGGGGTCTCAGGCGGCTGCCAGGAGCCGCTCTCCTCCCCTGGCAGCACCGCAGGCTTCGTGCTCGCTGGGGCCGCTGCTTGCCGGAGGAGGATGGGGCTCCTCTGGGCACTGCCGGCTCTCACCTTTCCCGCTGTCTCTGAAACGTCACCCGATATTTCAGGGTCCCTGTGGAGCTCACAGTGGCACTGTCGTGTTGTGGGCTCCTTTGCGCTGGGTGGGTCGTTCCCCGCTCTGCTCCCCACCTGCCTTCCCAGCTTCTTGGCTTTGCCCTCCAAGACGGTGCGAGCTGTCCCCAGGCATCCCTGCGTGCAGGTCCCTGGGTGCGTGCTGGAGGTGATGGCGTGCCCCTTTTCCTGGTCCCTGTGCCAGTTGCCTCTCTCTTCTGGAGATGAGTCACACCGGTGTCACCATGTTGTGCTCCGGAGGAAGGGCAGAGCTGAGCTGCCGATGGTGACAGGCAGCACGGTGCTCAGCCCTGCTACCAGGCCCTGCCTGGTCGATCGCTGAATGTGGAGGTGCTGGGGCCCGGGGCTCTGCTCTCCCTGGCTTTCCTCCATCCAGTCTCTCCTTCAGCTGGGATCCTTCGCACACCATCTGGGTGCATCTCCTCTCGTCTCCCCCTGGGCCTGGAGACGCAGGCTTCCCATCCCAGTTGCTCCCAGCTCTGTGCCCAGATAGGCCCATCCCAGTTGGAGCGGCTCCTGTCCGCTGCAGACCGTGGTGGCAGGAGGCATGGCTCCCCTTGCCTTGCCTCTCCCCGCCTTCGGTGCCCTTCTCCCCTCCTGGTTCGTCTCCCATGTTTGTAAGTGCAGAGCATAAGTACACATTGGGCAATAGGCAAGGTAAACAGCGGCTCCGTGCCAGGGCACCCTGTGGAGCCAGCGTCCACCGCGGCTCCTCGGGCCCCCAGCTCCCACGTGGCTGTCCGTGAGCCACAGCAGACAGCGGGTGCTGTGTGCTGAGGCCCCCTTGCCCAGTTCTGGAGCCGCGGCTTGGTCCGGCGGAGCCTGCCCTCCCCGGGTTTGAGGAGAGGCGCCCCGGGGCCTGACCACTCTTCCATCTCTCCGCAGATCGTGCTGCTGTCCCGGACGGTCTGTTCCTGCTGCCGCCCTCCGGCCCGGCTGTCACAGGCTCGTCCCCATGCTCTCTTGGGCTGAGCAGGGGCCAGCGGGGCAGAGAGGCCGGCGCGCCTCGGGGTGCTGACGCAGGGAGGCCGCTGGACCCGTCGCTCCCGGGACCCTCCTGCTCCCCAGCTAGAGGAACCCCGATACTCTGATGGATCTGAGGCCCTGCTCGCTGCTCCTGCTCTGGACTCTGGTGGTTGCCCTCGCTCTCCTGGCCCAGGAGGTGCTGGCCCAGCGTATTTACACCAACACCTGGGCTGTGCTCGTCCCCGCGGGGCCCCGGGAGGCTGACAGGCTGGCCAGGAAGCATGGATTCCTCAACCTGGGCCCGGTAAGTCCCCCGCTTCCCTCTCCCCGCAGAAGCTGTGTCCGCTGCCGGCTCTGCTGCAGTCTGGGCGGGCGCTGGGCTTGGCCCTGGAGCTGGGTTGGGGGCGGCTCTGGCAGCAGGGCCACTGTGTTTGTGCCCATTCACTGCAGCCTTCCAGCATCCGCTGCAGCGACTTAAGAGTGGTAATTAGCTGGATGGAGCCGGGGCCTCCCCGGCTGGTGGCATGGCACGGCACGGCACGCTCTGCCTGCTGGAGGGGGAAGGAGGAAATGCCCATCCCAGCGTGAGAAAATTGGGAGTGCTGTGCATTGGTGGAGGAGGGGAGTGCTCCCAGCGAGGCACGGCCTCGGCTCAGCCGGGGTGGCAGCAGCACCTCCTGGGTGTCCCCAGAGCAGGCAGTCTGACAGCAGCTGCGTGTCCTTGGCCCTAAGCTGCCCTTCACAGACGGTGTGTCAGCAGGTCCCCACTGCTCTCGGTTTTCTCTGCCCTCAGCCAGCGGAGGGATGGAGCAGCGCCTGCGGCTGCGCTGGGCTGGCACCTCTGTCACCCCCTGGCAGCAGGTAGAATGGGGTGACGGCGAAGGAACCGGGGCCCCTTGTGTTCCCCATGGTCCCAGCTGTTCCTGGCCTTGTCCCCAGCGCAAGGAGCTCTGCGGTGCTCTCCTCCTAGCAGCCTTGGCAGGACCCAGCTCCCTGGTGCCCCAGGCTGCTGGCTCTGTTTTCCCTGGCCGGCTGGGGGCCGTGCGCTTGTTGGTAGGAAGGGTGCTCGCGGGTCTGGCTCCTGAGGCATCGGTGTGAAAGCCAGGCCTTGGCCAAGAGCCACAGGGCTGGGTGGGCCAATGGCTGGGTTCCCCCCTACCAGCGCGGTGCTGCGGGCAGGACATGTCTCTGTTGGCCGGCTGTTTCTTGCAGACCAGCAATGCTTGACGCTACTGTTGTAGCGCGATCCCAGCTGCTCCGTGCTCTTGGCGCAGGCTTATCTGTGGGGCTTTTCTTGGCCCTGTGCTGTGGGCAGGGTGCTGGCAGCAGGTGGGGGCTTTGCCGATGGAGCTGGCACCAGCATGGCTGCCGTGGCCAAGGGGGGGCCAAGGGGATCCCACGGGAGCGGGTGCAGCAGGGCTGGCCCAGAGGGACGCCCCCAGGCCCCTGCGCAGGCACCGGGAGCTGGACTGGCCCTGCTCCGGTGAGGTGAGGCTGGCGCTGGCAGAGCAGAGCCCGCATGGCTCTGCCAGCCCCCGCTGGGCTGCCCACACGGCCGGGGGTCTGTCGCCCCGAGAGTGGGGCACTGCTGCCGGGCTGGGCTGGCTCCGCAGGAAGGAAGCGAGGGGCAAAATCCCAGAGGAAATTGCACAACTCATGGCTGCGGTGTCAGGACCTCGCTGTGAGCAGCTGCTGGGCGGGAGGGGAAGGTGGCTGCTGCTGGAGCCGGCGGGTGCCTTGTCCTGCTGCCCGAAAGGAGCCGTGCGCGGGGCGGTGGGGATGCAGGGCTCTGGGGACAGGGAGCCCCAAGTCTACTGGGACTCTTGCTGGAGGAGGGAGATCTGTGGGGGCCGGGGCCAGGCCCCACCAAGGGCGTCTGCGCTGTGGGGACAACGGGGCAGCCTCGCACAGGTGCTGTCTGTGTGGAAGTGTCTTAGAGCCAATGTCAGGGCAAAGGACGTGTCAGGCCAGGGCCGCCGCTCTGCAGCGGGGACTGCGAGAGTGGCCCAGGACACGTCCCGCTGGGCCAGGTCTCTGCCGAGACCCCTGGGAGTGGGGGACGGGGCTGAGGTGCCATTAGCCTGCTCCCGGCTGCCGGCAGCGTTTCCCGCCACACTGCGGTGCTGGGTCCCAGGCCCAGCTGCCAGGGCCGAGGGGCACTGGGCTCTGCAGCCATGTCTGCAGCAGCCCGGGGGTGTCCGTCAGGCCTGGGCTGCCATGCAGGGCCCCGTGGCTCAGTGGGGAGCCCAGGCCTGTTTGGGGTCCCTCCCCATGAGCCATGGAGGTTCTGTGCCAGCTCTGCCTGGCAGCGCCCACCTTCTCCCTGTGCCATTTGCTCTGTGGCCGGAGGCTGGCACCTCCCGGCTTTCCCAGCCCGCTGAGCTGCGGGCAGAGCAGCAGCGAGGCAGCACCTGCAGGCAGAGCCCCGCAGGCTGCAGCAGCCTGGGCTGCAGCAGGAGCTGCTGGTCTGGGCATGTTTTCTCCCGTTCTGGAGCCTGTCCCGGTGTCTGTGCTGTGGGACAAGGCTTGGCTGGCCTGGGCAGCCCACTCCTGCAGAGGGGCCGTGGTGGCCCGGTAGAAAGAGCAGGGCTGGAAGGAGCTGGGCTTTCCCTCCTGGGAGGTTTCTGGGCTGCTGTTCCTGGGGGGAGTGTGCCGCTGGGACAGGATGCGGCAGCCAGCCTGGGAGGGGGGGGACTGGGTGCTTCTGGCAGTGCCCCAGTGAGAGGCCCCCAGGGTCCTTATCTGAGAGGATCCTGGCCTCAGCGTGGGGTCTGGACACTGTCCTCGGAGGCGTGCTGTCCTGGCGTACTCCCTGCTCCACTGCTCCCTGCGGAGCTGGGGCGGGCACGCAGTCCCCTGGCCCAGCGGTGCCTCCGGCAGAGGGGTGCCAGGACCCGCGTCTGGTGCCTGTGGCCTCAAAGGGGACCCAAAGGACAGTGTCGGGGGGTGAGGGTCAGAGGAGAGAGACGGATGTCGCAGTGAGGCGGGAGTGCGGTGGTTTGTGCTGCTGGGGCTGGTGCAGAGGAGGGGGCACAGGCCCTGCCTGCCCCAGCTGGGGGTGGGGAGCACTGGGGAAGGGCCTGGCTGCTGGTGCCGGCCTTGGGCTGTGCTGGCAGGACAATGGGGATGAGCAGCCCCAGCAGCACCAGCCCAGGGAGGAGTGCTCTTACCTCCCATACCGCTGGGCTGCAGGTCCCCGCTAGCCCCTGCTGCCACCCGGCTCATTGTCCTGCTCCCAGGGACGCGGGCACAGGCAGCCCACTGGCCCTGGGGCTGGCCAAGTTGGCTGCGAGCTGTGGCAGGAGGCGGGGGCAGGAGCGGTGAGCTGGCACTGCTCTCCAGGGGGTCAGTGCTGACCACCCCAGGGACGCACGGGGCTGGGGGGTGGCTCTGCCCTTGCTGAGGACAGGGACTGTGAGGATTAGGATGGAAGCGTGTGGGCTGGCCGGCTCCTGGCTGCCACCGCAGTGTCTGTGCAGACCTAATCCAGTCGGATGACCAGGCAGAGCCGCGATCTGCTTGTAGGAACAATCGGAGCTCTGTCCTTACCCCCAGAGGGGGTGAGGGGGTGCTGGAGGAGGGCAGTGAGCCTGCAGCTCGCTTTCCCCTCTGCCAGCCCGGTGCAGAGGCTTTTCACCTCAACACCTCCCCAAATGCTCTGAGCTGCCGGGCATCCCAAGCTGTACTGGGGGGGACGCGGTGTGCTGGGGGGAACAGGCCCGGGTCTGTCCCCAGTGACTCTGGTGGTGCTGGGGGTGCGATGCTGCCTTAACAGGCAGGGCTGCAGCTCTGCAGCCGGCTGTGCCCCACAGGGAAGGGGTGCAGAGCTGCAGGCTGAGTCCTGGCCTTTCCTCCACCGGCCCAGGGCAGGAGGAGTGCCCAACTGCCACCGGCACCAGGGAGCGCAGCCCCGCGTCACAAGCACCACGTCTCCAGGAGCCGGCATGGTCTGTGGCTTCCCTGGATAACACCAGCTGGCGCCGTGTGGGGTTGATTTGCACGCTGCATTGTCCCCCACTGTGAGCTTGCTCCCCACCATGGTCCTAGGAACGCACACAGAGAGGAGCGCGGTCCTGAGCTGGCAGCCAGGGGCTTTGCCTGCCCCTTCCCTGGGGACTGATGTGTGCCGGTGTGCTGTGAGCACCAGACTCCCCTGGTGATGGAGCCGTGGACACGAGCCCTGACCCCGGTGTTTGGCTCTTGCTGTCCTGTGCCACCGGTGCTGGGCTGACATGAGTCGAGTCCGTTCCCTTTCCTGCCCATGGAGCAGCTGGTGCGCGGGTCTGTGCCGCGGGGGCAGCCCTGTGGAGCAGAGCAATTCCCATCAGCAGGCAGGGGCTTGGCCTGCCGGCACGCGGTTCCCCCCAGCAGGAGTGGTGCAGGCCCGGCTCTAGGTGCTGGGGTGCGTTTCTCTCGCCCCGCGGAGCACGGAGGGGCTTCAGGGTGAAGTGCAGGACTTGGAGAGCCGCAGCCCGGATTTCCTGCCCCGGGGCTGAGGGTGCCCATCAGCCGGGTGCACCTTTCCTCCCCTGCTCGGCTCCGGCTGGCTGCATGGCTGGTCAGGATGGCGGCACATCTGCAGAGCTCTGATGAGCTTGCAGGGGGTTCGTTAACTGCAACCAAACTGTTTTGTGGCAGCCTGGGGTGGCAGAGGACGAGATGTCCTCTCCCTCGTGTTCCCGCAGCCCTTGCAGCCCAGCTCTGCAGGTGGTGGCGCAGCCTGGGCAGCCGGATCCTGTCTGCGGCTGCTGCGCAAGCTTCATGGCTCCCAGTGGGGCAGGATGGGAGCTTGGCCCCCTTCTCCCCAGTCCAAGCAGGCTGCTGGGCTGGGAGGCCCTGGGCAGCAGGGGTGGGGCCACCGCAGCCAGGCCAGCCTCTGGGACGTGCAGGAGGGGATAAGGAAATGACAGCACTGGAGAGGGTTTGGGGTTTAAAAATAACCGGCTGGGCGGCTGCGTGGCCTCCTGGTCCAGCTGGGCTGCGCTGGAGTCCCATCCTGTCCCAGCCCCGGCTGGGCTGTCCCCGCATGCGTGGGAGCTGAGCCACGGCCAGCGCAGCACGGCTCCTTGGCTGGTGGCCGCCCCCACCTGGGGTCGGGCGTTGGTGTGCCCCCTCGCTTTGCTCTGCTGGAGCTGGCTGTGCCCCGAGGTAGAGTCCGGCGCTGGGTGGGTGCTCCGGTGGGGAGCTGGCCTGTGTTGCGTGGGGAGAAGGGCTCTGCAAGGGGCCCGTTCGGAGGAGCGGAGGCTGGCTCAGACCCTCCCTGCCCTGGCTGGGGCTGCCTGGGGAGCGGGGTCTGGAGCCCCCCAGCCCCCCCGAGCCCAGTAGCAGGGGGTGCTGGTTGGCTCAGGGAGAAGAGCGGCAGTTTTGCCTCCTCAGGTTGGCTCTGAAAGGCCTGTCCCTCTGCTGCTGCTTGCCTAGGGCCTCCCTGCCAGGGCAGCAGCTTTGTTGGACAATTAGGGACTTAGTGCCATGCGGGGACCCGTGGGAGGGTGAGATGGGCAGAGGCCACGTCACTGTGGCCCCAGGGCCTCCCCAGCTGCCTTGTCATCAGCTGCTGCAGCCTCTGCAGGAGGTCCTGCACCGTGCGCCAGCAGCCGCTCCGGAGTGGGTGGCCCAGCCTGCCCGTGGCTTGGGATTGCAGGTGGGGGGACAGGGAATTGGGGAGACCGGGCTCTCATGTCCATCCTGCTCATTTCTCTGTTGCAGATCTTTGGCGACTATTACCATTTTCGGCACAGCGGTGTGGTGAAGCGTTCCCTTTCACCCCACCAGCCCTGGCACAGCCGTTTGGCCAGGGAACCACAGGTACGTGCAGGGGGAGGCCCTGCCTGCCATCGGCGGGGGCCTGGCTTTGCTTCTGGGCACTTCACACTGGCATGTGAGCCAGCACTGGGCACAGGATGGGGCTGAGCTGCCTTGAACCATCCCCTGGCACTGAGGCCTGTGGCAGAGCCAGGTGGGAGCCCAGCACGTGGCTGGCAAGGACAGGGGGTTGGCGGAGCTGGGGTCACCGTCCTGTGGGCTGCTGTGATCCCAGGGCACGGGGCAGCCTTGGCTCCCTGGAGGGCTCTCCGTCCTTGTACATGGGGCAAGATGCGCAGGGCAGTGCGGGCAGTGCCAGATCCCAGCACGGCGGTGTGGCAGGGCTGCCGTGATCTCTGGCCCCTGGCTCTGGCCCAGGCGCCTGGCACGCTGGCAGCACAGTGGGGCATGCAGCGCGTCGCGGCGGCTGGCAGGCTCTCGGCAGCCTGCTGCTCGGCAGAGCTCTGTGCTCTGACCTGCACGCTCCGCTGGAGCGGAGCCAGTCGCGGGACGCCTGGCGCTGCCGCCCTGGCATGGCTGAGCGGGGGAGGCCAGGAGGGACGGTCTGGGTGCTGCGGTAGCTCTGGCAGGGTCAGATGCTCTGCCAGCCCAGGGCTGGCTGCGAGCTCCCCAGGGAGAGCCCCTCTGGGCAGGCTCCTGGCGGGGGGGCAGGGGCCCCGGGGAGCTGCTGGCATGGGTGCGAGCTGCCGAGGGGGCAGGCAGGGGCAGTGGGGGAGCCCCATGCCCTCTCTGTCCCCAGGTGCAGTGGCTGGAGCAGCAGGTGGCAAAGCGCAGGGCCAAGCGAGACATTTTCATGGAGCCCACGGACCCCAAGTTCCCGCAGCAGTGGTACCTGGTGAGTGCCGGGCAGGGGCTGTGCGCCGCCGGGCGAAGGGGGGAGCCGCGCAGTCATGACAGCAAGTTCTGGGGACACAGACAGGCTGTGTCCCACTTTCAGAGTGGCCCTCCTCGGGTGGCTGTGCCCAGCCCTCTGTCCCTGGGTTCCCAGGGTTTCCTCGTCCCCACACCACAGCAGAGCAGGGTGGAGGCTGCCTCTTGCCTGCCCTTACAGCTGGCCTGGGAGGGGTCCGGGCACACCCCGCTGCAGTGCCAGCAACTGGGCGCAGCTCCTATTGCCAGGGCTTCTCTCGGCAGTACAACACGAACCAGCGGGACCTGAATGTGCGTCAGGCCTGGGAGCAGGGCTACACGGGCAAGGGCATCGTGGTTTCCATCCTGGATGATGGCATTGAGAAGAACCACCCTGACCTGGAGAGCAACTATGTAAGCGTGGGGCGATGCCGCAGGGCAGTGTGCCACAGGAGCCTGCCCGGGCGGCTGCATCTGCTCGGTGCAGCCCCGGCGCTGCGTGGCACAGGGCTCGTGCCTGCCGTGGCGTGACATGGAGGAAAGGGGTGGAGGTGGGACTGGAGCCTACCCACCCGCTCAGCTCGGCCTCGGGGATGTGGCACACAGGTGTGGCCCCATGGCAGTGGGGCTCGGTAGGCAAGGTGGACAGTCTAATTGCCAGATCTGTCTTCCAGGATCCAGGGGCGAGCTTTGATGTCAATGACCAAGACCCAGACCCGCAGCCCCGTTACACACAGATGAATGACAATAGGTGAGGCAGGAGGCAGAGGTGAGGGCGGCAGCGCCCAGCCGCGGCAGGGACTTGGTGGCAGCGCCAGCCCTCATGGGCTGCGGGAGGGTGCAGGGGTGATGGCACACTTCTGCCCTACGGGAAACCCCCTGCTTCCATTTCTGATGTGAGCAGCATCCTTGGGGGCTGCCCGTTCAGTCCCCCCTGCCCCAGAGCAGGAGGGTAGACAGAAGAGCCCTGTGGGGCCTTTGTCGGCTGCCCGGTTTGGGAGGGATGGGAGGCAGCCTGGGCGCTGGGCCTTCCAGCTGCGGCTGGTGCCCAGCCCCATGCTTCTCGCGCCCCGTCTGAGCACGCTTGGTTCTGTTTCGACTGCAGACACGGCACGCGCTGCGCCGGGGAAGTTGCTGCCGTGGCAAACAACGGGATCTGTGGTGTCGGTGTGGCTTACAACGCCAGGATCGGAGGTGGGTGCCACCCTGCCCTGCACCAAGAACAAAGCCTGCGCTGGGCTCCGCGGGTGCCTCACGGCCGGAGGAGCGGGCTGTGCTGGGGATCTCAGCGCTGCTGGCTGGGGTAGCCCTGTGATGGCCCGTGGCATGGGGCGGCAGCAGCGGATGGAGGGCTCTCGCCAGCAGCACCGCTGCTCTGCGGCGCGCGGCCGCCCTGCCCCATCCGGTCGCCCGTGACGTCTCCTCTCTGGCCCTAGGCGTGCGCATGCTGGATGGGGAGGTGACTGATGCTGTGGAGGCCCATTCCCTGGGCCTCAATCCCAACCACATCCACATCTACAGTGCCAGCTGGGGCCCCGAGGACGATGGCAAGACTGTGGATGGCCCGGCCCGGCTGGCAGAGGAGGCTTTCTTCCGAGGGGTCAGCCAGGTGAGCAGGAGAGTTTGCCGGGGGAGCGCCAGCTGAGCTCCTGCCCCTTCCCCCAGGTCTCCCTTGCTTTGCCCACCCTGGTGGTTGTCCCGGCCCTCCAGTGATGAGCTGTCTTCCAGCCCATCTCCAGGAGCAGGCTCTGTTGGTTTTTCCTGTTCTTCCTGCGTGATGGCTCTGAATCAGGGCTCCTCCCATGCAGGGTGCTTATCTTGCCTTTCTGAGCAGCCCGGTCCTCCCTGCTCGAAGGGCTCCCTCGCAGCTGGGATGGTCTCTCCCGGCTCTCCGAAGCCCTGTGGTGGTTCCTGCCTTGTTTCATGCCAGCCGCTCGCCCTCGCCTCCTCCGCCTGTCCTCCCCGTGCTGTCCCCGTGTGCTGTCGGTGCAGCCTGTGCCTTGGCACGGCCGTGGTG